TCAACTAAACCATGTCCGGTCATCACGTGAGATGGAGTAGTTTTCAATGGTGAACACCACTATGTTGATCATATCTACTATATGATTCACGCTCGACCTTTCGGTCTCAGTGCTCCGAGGCCATATCTACATATGCTAGGCTCGTCAAGTTTAACTCGAGTATTCTGCATGTGCAAAACTGGTTTCCACCCGTTGTATGTGAACGTAGAGCTTATCACACCTGATCATCACGTGGTGTCTCGGCACGACGAACTGTAGCAATGGTGCATACTCAGGGAGAACACTTATACCTTGAAATTTAGTGAGAGCACATCTTATAATGCTACCGCCGAACTAAGCAAAATAAGATGCATAAAGGATAAACATCACATGCAATCAATATAAGTGATATGATATGGCCATCATCATCTTGTGCCTTTGATCTCCATCTCCAAAACACCGTCATGATCACCATCGTCACCGGCTTGACAACTTGATCTCCATCGAAGCATCGTTGTCATCTCGCCAACTATTGCTTCTACGACTATCGCTACCGCTTAGTGTTAAAGTAAAGCAATTACATGGCGATTGCATTTCATACAATAAAGCTACAACCATATGGCTCCTGCCAGTTGCTGATAACTGTGTTACAAAACATGATCATCTCATACAATAAAATTTAGCATCATATCTTGACCATATCACATCACAACATCCCCTGCAAAAACAAGTTAGACGTCCTCTACTTTGTTGTTGCAAGTTTTACGTGGCTGCTACGGGCTGAGCAAGAACCGTTCTTACCTACGCATCAAAAACCACAACGCGGTATAGTGATTGCTTTTTGATCTTCAGTAAGAACCCTGTTCATTGAATCCGATTCAACTAAAGTTGGAGAAACTGACAACCACCAGCCACCTATGCGCGAAGCACGTCGGTAGAACCAGTCTCGGATAAGCGTACGCGTAATGTCGGTCTGGGCCGCTTCATCCAAGAATACCACTGAATCAAGAATCAACTAGTGACGGAAAGCAATATGTATATACCCATGCCCACAACTCCTTTATGTTGTACTCGTGCATATAACATCTACGCCTAGACCTGGCTCTGATACCACTGTTGGGGAACGCAGTAATTTCAAAATTTTCCTATGCATATGCAAGATCTATCATGGTGATGCATAGCAACAAGAGGGGAAGAGTGTTGTCCACGTACCCTCGTAAACCGTAAGCGGAAGCGTTATGACAACGCGGTTGATGTAGTCGTATGTCTTCACGATCCGACCGATCCTAGTACCGAAAGTACGGCACCTCCGCGATCTGCACACTTTCGGCTCGGTGATGTCCCACGAATTCTCGATCCAGCTGAGTGTCGAGGGAGAGCTTTGTCAGCACGACGGCGTGATGACGGTGATGATGAAGCTACTGGCGCAAGGCTTCGCCTAAGCACTACGACGATATGACCTAGGTGGATTATGGTGGAGGGGGGCACCACACACGGCTAAGGGATCAATGATCAACTTGTGTGTCCTAGGGTGCCTCCCTACCCCCATATATAAAGGAGCAAGGGGGGAGGCCGGCTGGCCCTTGGGGCGCGCCAAGGAGGGGAGGAGTCCTCCTAGTAGGACTAGCACTCCCCCTTTCCTAGTTCAACTAGGAGGAGGAAGGGGGAAGGAAGGGGAGGAGAAGGGAGAAGGAAAGGGGGGCGCCGCCCCCCTTCCCTAGTCCAATTCGGACTAGAGCGGGAGGGGCGCGCGGCCCTGCCTTGGTCGGCCCTCTCTCTCTACTAAGGCCCATGTGGCCCATTAGTTCCCTGGGGGGGTCCGGTAACCCTCCGGCACTCCGGTTTTCTCTGAAATCACTCGAAACACTTCCGGTGTCCGAATATAGCCGTCCAATATATCAATCTTTATGTCTCGACCATTTCGAAACTCCTCGTCATGTCCGTGATCACATCCGGGACTCCGAACTATATTCGATACATCAAAACACATAAAGTCATAATACGGACCGTCACCGAACGTTAAGCGTGCGGACCCAATGGTTCGAGAACTATGTAGACATGACCGAGACACATCTCCGGTCAATAACCAATAGCAGAACCTGAATGTTCATATTGGCTCCCACATATTCTACGAAGATCCTTATCGGTCAACCCACATAACGATATACGTTGTTCCCTTTGTCATCGGTACGTTACTTGTCCGAATTCGATCGTCGGTATCTCAATACCTAGTTCAATCTCATTACCGGCAAGTCTCTTACTCGTTCCGTAATGCATCATCCCGCAACTAACTCTTAGTCACATTGCTTGCAAGGCTTATAGTGATGTGCATTACCGAGAGGGCCCAGAGATATCTCTCTGATACTTGGAGTGACAAATCCTAATCTTGATCTATGCCGACTCAACAAACACCATCGGAGACAATTGTAGAGCATTTTTATAGTCACCCAGTTACGTGGTGACGTTTGATAGCACACTAAGTGTTCTTCCGGTATACGGGAGTTGCATGATCTCATAGTCATAGGAACATGTATAAGTTATGGGGAAAGCAATAGCAACAAACCAAACGATCAGCGGGCTAAGCTAAGGGATGGGTCAAGTCAATCACATCATTCTCTAATGATGTGATCTCGTCAATCAAATGACAACTCATGTCTATGGTTAGGCAACATAACCATCATTGATTCAACGAGCTAGTCAAGTAGAGGCATACTAGTGACATTTTGTTCGTCTATGTATTCACACATGTACTAAGTTTCCGGTTAATACAATTCTAGCATGAATAATAAACATTTATCATGATATAAGGAAATATACATAACAACTTTAGTATTGCCTCTAGGACATATTTCCTTCAAAAGCCACCCTGCCAAAGGATAACCTCCAATCATGGGAAACAAGTGGGAGAAGGCGCGTGCCTCCCATGACGTCGCGGCTATAAAAATGTCGTCCATATGGACGGGCATTTTTTCGGCAAGGAAGAACAAGGAGGATAGGTACAAGTTCAAGTTGGATGCGCAAAAGGAGATAATGGAGTGGGACCGGAAGAGGGCGGAGAAGAAGCTCAAAATTGAGAGGAAGAAGATCGAGTTGCAGAAACAAGAGGCAGCGATGAAATGAGAATTCAAGAAGGCCAAGACATTTGGCGACATAGAGCTTGAGAAGGAGAGGTTGCAACTCACACGGGACGCGAAGAATGCGAGGATCTATGTTGGCGGACGAAACCCTCTTGGATGAGCATGTGAAGAAGTGGCTTGCGCACAAGAAGGAGATCAACGACCATAGGGAGTACGAGGCGGCGAGGGTGGTTACGGCATGGATGCAGGCCGAGGAGGCAGCCCGGATGCAGGCGGAGCAGGACGCATTCCACTCAGAACAGGCGCCTGGCCAGTGATCCGAAGCCATCCGACACGCTCGGACATTGATTTCATTTTGACATGTTCGGTTTATTGAACTATGATTTGCTTTGCTTTGTTTTGAACTGTTGAATTTGAACAATTTGTATTGTATGATCGACGTGTATGGATTGCATTATTTTGAGAATCAAAATTTGAGATATGTGGATGTCCGATGCAACATATGATGCTCTATACGCATTGGCTCTCTCACGGCCGTCCTGCCATGCCCCGCTAGTTGAGATCAATAAAGGCAAGGATAACCAATGTTTTTTCTCACCCCTTTTCGCATGACGCCTTTGAGGAAGAGATTGCCTTGACGGTGCGCTGGACCACCCATCATTGCACTCCGAGCCGATGCATCTGCATGTTCTTTCTTGTAGTAGTCCTTGCTTGTCCACCTAGCTACCATCAACTGAAAGCATCCGGGATTGGAGGCGCACCAAGAGCTAGCATCTGCCTACATATACAATAGTAATAAGCATACATGAATGAAAAAGATTGGCGGGCATATCTAGTCAATAATAAGCACATAGACCAATCTGTATGTACTGCGCACGTGTCCGACGCTTTCACTGGGCTACCTTCTTATCGAGCTTAACCTTGTGGTGTTCTGCAAAATAATTGATAACGCAGCCCACACGCGCCTTGTAGTTCATGTCGTGGGAAAGCTTCTTCGCAATGGTCACCACCACCTCACATGCGGACTCAAAGAGACCATCACGGGTAGAGTAAAATACTCCTACAATGATGCATATGGGTAAAGGACAAAGTCGTTCTTTTTTGCGGGGTAGAAGGACAAAGTCGTTAGTAAAACCATTGTCAAGCTCAATGTATTGAATAAGAAAGTTCATATTGCGTTGACACTTCTCGAGCCTACTGTTTCTCTTCGGTTTTCAGGAGAGAATGAGTGTGACAGGTTATTTTCTTCACTTACAGGGCTCTTCATTACATTTGAAAGACAAATCCACTTTTATAGATAGAATCAGTATTTAGTATTTACTCTGTCTACCAAAATACCTAGTGAAGATTGATGGTTATTCACACAACGGATTCACTAGTCCCATCTCCCAATCCTAAGGACGTACGGTCAAGTGGTGACAGCCTCCCTCAAGATCGATCTCAAGCAGGAACGAACACAGATCCAAGACGCCAATGGAAGCTGATGAAAAGTATCCAACGAGCATGTACAGTGGTGCCAATCAATTATATGACTCACTCCCTGTGCGTTGCTAAACTTGCATAATATCTGTGGTTCGTCCTCTTTGATTTTAGTGCAAAAGGTCTTACCAATCAGTTTGGATAAAAGCGATGGATAAGGGAATTTTGCAATATATATATGTAGCCAAAGCAACAAAACTCGAACTAATATGTAAAAGGCTTAGCCGACATAGTACAACCCCTAGCTAGCAAGCAAGCTATGAGATTTCTGTTCGGTCGGTTTCACAATATCTTACGAGGCATGTGGTAGCTTATGCATTGTCCACAAAGCAACACAGCATGCATTTTGGGCTCCCCTGTGAAAGGAGGATATCTATGTAGCTGGTGCTGTCCAACCAAATATATCTCTATAAATCAGACACCTCTCTTGAAACTCAATCTTGCGCCCACACACCCAACAAACCAATGGCCCTCATCCGCTCCCTACTTGTCCTCCTGCTGCTACTCTGCTCGGCCGATGCCTCCGGCACATTGGCGCCGGCGCACGCGCCGGCCACGGGGCTAGAGGCGGAGAAGTTTTGCTTCGGCATCGGTACCAACGATCAAACATTGACCTGCCTGGCGAACGCGGCAGCGGCGTGCCTGGCCACGAGTGCCGTCGTCGAGGAGTCTACTTTCCTGGCGTGCTTCGTGGCCGACGCCGGCTTTGATTCGCAGTGCCTGGCCGCCGGACCGCCGCAACATGGGAAGCAGGAGGAGCACTGCATCGGCATTGGTATCAGCAACGACCGGATGACATGTCTTGGGCTGGTCGGCTGGTCGTGCCGCGGCAGCAGATTCGGCATTCTGGGGTTTGTGCCGTGCTACCTCGGGAGCAGCATGAAGTGCATAGTGTAATGCTGCTGCACGGGAATTCCTGCTGCACGTACTGCTGCTACTCGCTCCATGCCTCGTAATAATCCAAGTTTCTGTCAATGTTCTTGTGTCTCTTTTGTCCACTACTCCTTTTTTATATCCTATGTAGTAGAATCTTTCGTCAATGTGTGCACCAGGTTCTGCTTGGATGCAATGTGAAATTTATATAGCTGTGATATTTTTGTATATTATATATCATCTTACATTATTTCAATGTGATTACATGTTAGAATCTTCGGACAGAAAAAAGTTGAGCCAGATTTCTTCTAGACAACCAAACAGCAACCATGCATGCATGCATTTGCGCTGAGATATTCTGTGTAATCATTATTAATATGTTACTACCTTAGTTTACTCAACGCAAAACCAAGCTGGAGTACTAATTTACGAGTAAGCCGGAGCAGGCTTGTCTAGCGTGTGCTTTTGGCCGGCCGGCAGAACACTAGCTGATCGATTTGCTTCGAGTCATGCATGCGAGACGTACCGCACATGGCTAGCTGATCGATGTGTGGAACAAGCCAGGCGACGGCACATGCTTCCACGCCATGCTCCATGTTCGGATGCCAGGAGGAAGTACAAGACTCATGCGAGAAGAGATAAACCAAGAAAGATATCCATGCAAAAACTACCCTACTTTAGCAACATTAAAGCATCCCATTGCAACATATCTCCATGATAAAGAAACAGCAAACCACAACAGATCAACATGACATTCTTCACCGCCCAACCTTTGCCTTTCCACGAAGAGCCAAGTGAAACGAGCGGTCAGAACCCTCCCATGACCGTGGCTCCACCATCCCCCTCAACTCCGACCACCACCACCCACCGATTCCCCTCGATCTACTCCGGCGGCACGGTCTCCGGCGCGGCGAAGGAATCGCGGCTCCGCTCGCTCGAGCGCTCTGGACCCAGGGTTGGTCTGGGTGTTGTTTTGGCACTAGATTCAAACCGGGATGAGCGGCTCGAGCGAGTGGAGGGCGTCGTTAGAGGAGCTGGAGGCGATGGTGAAGTCGGCGAACAGAGCGGAGAAGGCGGCGGCGCGAGCGGTGGAGAAGGCACGTCAATCCAAGTTGGATCTCGCCGAGCGAATCATGGAGAGATTGACGGAAGAGGAGGCAGACCGACTGTTCCAATTGGGAACACACCTTGACCCAGAGCAGGTGTTGGATTGGGCGGCAGAAGAAGCAGCATCCACATCGCGAGTTTAGAGGGCGAAATGGCGGCCATTCCATCGAGAACCATGGTGAATCAAGGATCAAGAGATGCTCGGCTGGAGGTGGTCGTCGGCAGCTTCAGCATCCCCCTGCGGTCAGGATTGGTCAGGTACGGGTCTCCATGCCATCCATCTCCGTTCAGGGTTGCTGCGGCGGCAAATCGACTGCGCCGACGAGCTGAAGACATGGCTTCGGTGAGATTTGGGGAGAAACTTGGATACGGGGCCCCACAAGTCAGTCAGTGTGACGCTGCTCAGTCAAAATTGGCTAGTGAAACCCGCTTCCAGCATGATAAAGTGCATCATAGAAAGGCGTCTTCGCGGGGTGGGGAGGAGGGGATTGTGGATATATATGGGCAGCTCTAGTCCGTCCCCTCGCCAACGAGACCTAGGGTTCCTGCCGCTAGGGGTAGGCTAGTCTGGATCGACAGGGATCTTTTCCTCTCCAAGCAATTCAAGGGTGAGGACTGCTATCCAGCTAGAGTAACAGAAAAATTGCCACAAGCGAAAAAGATTAGCTACTCCAAGGATCTGTGGAAGAACATCTCTGGCAGAGCAACATACGCGGAAGTAGTGAGTGGGATGGCTGGAAATCGTGGCGGTGGTCGTCGAGGAGGTGGAGGAGGGGCTGGTCGTGGTGATGCCTTCCGCTCATCAGGTGACCAAGGCCGCTCCTTGAGCCAAGGACAGATGCCGCCACAGATGGTGCCGCAGATGGGTGCCTTCCACCCCCAAGGCCAGTTTGGAATACAAGGACCACATCAAGGTAATTTTGGGCCAATTCATCAATTTAATAACCAGGGAGGGATGCAAGGGATGCAGCCATGGCAAGGGGCTCAATTCCCCCAGTATAATCAGTGGCAGCAACAGTTCCTTCCTGCTATGCCAGTTCTGCAGCAGCAACAGCAACAGTTTGGGCCTCCCCCTTTGCAATTTCAGCCTGGACCTCAGTTCCAAAATCTGGGAGAAGGGCAGTCGAGCACTCAACAGCAAAATTCTCAGAACTTGCAGCAGAAGAAGAAAACCAAGAGCTTCAATTCTCAGAAAGATCAGCAGGGGAAGTCTAATAGTGCTGATAAGTATGACAGCAACCAAAGAAAAGAGGAAGCTATCATAAACTATGATCCAAAGATGAAAGATGTCATCTGCTAAAACTGTGGTGAGCCATCTCATTTTGTTGGCACCTGCCCAATACCAAAAAATTGTTTTATCTGTCACAAGGCTGGACACCATATGGATAACTGTTTGGAGTGGTATAAACCACAAGCCACTGCCCAGTACTTTGGAAGTGCTGATGCTGGTTTGGGTTTGAGAAGTGCTAGGTGTGCTAGTGGTAAGGTTCAGCCATTTGGACTGGCATCTCTCAAATTGCCTATATACTAGGTGTGCTAGTCAATGTGGACTGGCATGAAATTTTTAGAAGCTTTTATGAAAAAGTCAAGGTCTAGATTGCAGTCAGGGACATTTCTAAGATACCGGCTGAAAGACTAGTAGAAATAGATAAAGAGCTCTACCTTATATCTTTCCTAGTGGAGAATGCCCCAAATGTGGAGGCTGCTGGCCCTAGTGCTCAAGAGACAGAAAATTCTGATGATGATCTACTTGAAGGGGATCCTGAGAAAGACATGCAGTTACATGAACCAAGAAATATGGAGACTGACAAAGACAAAGATAAAAGCACAAGATCAAGTACTAAAGGGCCTGGCCATAACTCTCAAAGAACACCATCTCACTCCCAAAAGCCCATGGACCTAATGGACACACTGGAAAAGAAGGTTCAAAGTGTTATTTTGGGTCTGAAAAATGATGAGAATTTGTCAAAAAGTTTGCAGAAAAAGCTACCTGAGGAGAATATTGGTGTGCAGTTGATTGAGTAGTTTGATGAAGAATCTAAAGGAGAAAAAGACACAGGAGCTGACACCCAACAGCCAGAATAGGGGCAAAACAAAAATTGGGGCCCCATTGTGGCGCCCAGGATGAGTACTAGAATTAGAAGGGATGGAAGAACAGCAATACAGAAAGTTGCAGATCTCAAAAAGCTCAAGGATCTAGAGATACCAAAAGGTAACAAAAACACCAATTCCTTTTCTGCTTTCAATGATGCGAACTTAATATCTAAGGCTAGGAAAGCTGGTCTAAAACTAGGCGGTGATGATGATAATATTATTTCTCATAATATTCAGGCCATTAGGCTGATTGAGGATAATAGACTATCTACTTTTAAAGATTCTCATCCAGAATGCTTCTTACCTACTAATCTAGATATCAGCTTTGAGGACAGCAAAAAAACATCCTCATTAATTGTAGGGCCAGAAAGTGTTCACATTAGTGACACAGCTGGTGATACACCTACATGGGCTGAAATAGTGTCTGGTAAGAAAAGTAGCTGTAGAAAACTAGAATTTATCAATGGTAGTAGGACTAATTTGAAATGTTAGAGGGGTGAATAAGCCTGAAAAACTTAGTGTTGTGGGGAAACTCATTAGAGATACCCATGCTGACCTAGTTGGTTTTTCTGAGTCTAAGAAGGATTCTTTTCTAGTGATCAAGTTAAAGTTCTTGATCCAAACAGTGATTTCACCTGGAACTGGATGCCGGCTATTGGTACTGCAGGTGGGATCCTGGTTGGAGTTAAGCAAGATGACTTTGAGATTATATCTGTGGATATTCTACAATTCTCTGTTGCTTGCTTAATAAAAGATAGGAAAGATGGTAAAATATGGAGATTTATAACTGTATATGGGGTTGCATAAGATAATCTCAAACTAGAGTTCATCAATGAGCTACATAATACTATGGAAGCCTGGCTGGGTCCTACCATTATTGGAGGAGATTTTAACTTAGTTAGGAGTAGTGAAGAAAAAAGTACTGGGGCTATTAATTTACACTGGGTAACCCTTTTCAATGACTGGTGAATAAATATGCCCTCATTGAACTGAAAAATTATACTAGGAAATTTACATGGGCCAATAACCAGGATAATATGGTGATGGCTAATATTGATAAGATTTTCATTTCCACTTGTTGGGAAAATTTATTCCCATCTGTGCAAATGAAAGCCCTCCCTAGGGTGGGTAGTGACCATACACCCCTAGTATTTGATACTGGAGCTATACAGCCACCAAGAGACAAACAATTTAGATTTGAAAAATGGTGGCTGCAGGTAGAAGGTTTTGATGAACTGGTTAGAAAAACCTGGAACAAATCATGATCCATTACTGATCCTATGGATAGATGGCAATACAAGATTAGGTTACTTAGGAGAGTGTGCAAAGGTTGGAATGCCAATTATGAGGCTGAAAAGAACACGAATAAGCAACAGCTGGTTGCTGAGTATGATTTAATGGATATTGAGTCTGAGACAAAGGTACTCTCCCCACCTTCTAAAACTAGGATGAACAAAATTACCCTAGATCTCCAAAATATTGAGTCTGAAATCAAATCTAGACAAAGTTCTAGAGAGAGAAATATTTTGGAAGGAGGGAGAAACACAGCTTACTTCCATGCTTTGGCTAATCAAAGAAGAAGGAAAAAGCAGATTAGTATGCTGAGGGGTCCAGATGGTCCTGTAGAGGATACTAAAGATATTATTAATGTTGTTTTAGATTATTATAAACAACTGTTTGGGAGAGAAGAAACATTAGAAATAGAATTAGATGATAATTTCTGGGAGCCCTCTGAAAAGGTTTCTAAGGATCAAAATGTGAGGCTTGAGGCCAATATTACACAGGAGGATGTCAGGAGGGCAGTCTTTGGCTCATATGCTGAA